CTAGCATAATTTCAAATTTCCAGGGTCGCCACACCAACCTGCTGGTACTGTTTGGTGGTGCTACTTGCTGCATAAGTCATTCCAATTTCTTTTTCTCCATTTATTGTTTTAACCTGCTTACTTTTAGCCCTAGCCATGGTTCCAATGAATAAAAGAAATGCTTCTCATTATGTAAAGCACCTACACATTATCCATTAAAGATAAGGTGGCTTTGAAGCCACTGTCGGTTGCCATGAGCTCAGTCTCATGAAGCAGGAGAATATGCTTTATTCTTACGCTAATATCAACACTACAGCTTATTTGCCTATCACAACTGATCTAATATGACATAAGAAACAATATAAATAGCATAAAACATGTTAAATACTCCAGAATGAATAATATTTGGCATAACACCGAGCAGTTCGACAGAGTTATGAAGAGGATATGGTAAACAAATACCATTCTCCTATCCTTGTCTTGGGGGCTTATAAAGAAAACGGAGTATAGCGCAGGGCTAACTATGATATACACTCGTACTCCACCATAAACGTGAAACAAAAAAGTTATTTTCTCTCTATAGATTATCACACAGCAGCATATGTGTAGAGAACCTAGGATAACTCCAAAAAAGTCAACGTGGCTTATTTTAGTACCTGGCTTGGGTTAGCCATATGTGATTTTTGGTAAATATTCGATTCCCAGCCAGGGTAGAAACATTAAGCGTGTTTCTTTACGCCTGTTGTCTATGTTTACCCATCAGTAAATGGGTACCTGGGTGTTAGTCGACTAGTGTGGGTGTTATCCTGGGACACTGACCTAATTTTCTTGAAATACTCAGCATAACAAGTGCCTTTCTATGCAGTAGTATGTCACTGATGTCAGCTAGGCCAGTATACCTTGTACATGTACGTGTAGTAAATAAAGATATTATTATTATTATTATTATTATTATTATTATATTATTATTATTATTATTATTATTATTTTTATTATTATTATATTATTTTCTCAGTTGTTTGTTGGGTTATCTTATTCAAACTTGGGCAATGTATGATGGAAAGATACTTCTTCACGTACACCAAAAATGAAAGAAATCTGACCATAAATAGCGGAGTTCACTTCTCAGCCACTAGCGGCCGCTTAGCAGTATATTTTTGTATGGTTGTTATGGTTATATTCTCATTTTTTCGGTCTCATTTGATAGAATGAAAGATATATTACAGAAATAGATATGATTTTGATTTGCTTTCATGACGAAAAGTACCTTGAAATTGCGCTAACAGTAGCGAAAATGTTCTATTCTTTAGCGAAGCTCGAGAGTAAACAAATGACGTCACCGTCCATTACCTGTCCGCCTGCCAGTCTAAATTCCAGTACGGAGTCAAGAATGGATTGACATTATTTATACAATTATTACAATAATGCAGTAGTCTGCATAACAGTAAATCTTCTATTTTTTTGTGAACAAAAATTCCAAATGGTAAGCAAGAGTAATATAACAAGGGCCTGTAGCTGTGACTAATGAACAGAGAAAATGTTATTTTAGTGCCAGGAATGCCTGCATTGTTTATTCTGGAGCCTATTTTGAAATTGGCATCTGTTGAAATTTGTGTGAAATCAGCCAAATTGCCAATTTCTGACCACTTTATTGGGTAGTTGAAATAAGTGAATGGGCGGTTTCTTGTATTCAGTTGACAGACTAGAAGTAAAGAAGTTTATTCAGGTATACACAAATACAGTTACATAGATTATCATACATAGCAGTGTATGTATAGAGAACCTGGGATAATCCAGAAAAGTCAGACAAAGTGACTTATTTCCAGTACCTGGCTTGAACTTGCCATAAATGATTTTTGGTAAATTTTTTTTTCTCGGTTGTTTGTTGGGCTATCACATTGAAACTTGGGCAATGTATGATGGAAAGATGCTTCTTAACGTACAACAAAAATAAAAAAGATGGATGATAAATAAGGGAGTTCACTTCTCAGCCATTAGCCGCCTCTTTGCAGTATATTTTCGTATGGTTTTTATGGTTGTATTCTCATTTTTTGGACTCATTTAATAGAGAGGAAGATATATTACAGAAATAGACATGATTTTGATTGTTTTCATGATGAAAAGTACCTTGAAATTGGGCTCAAAGTAGCGGAAATGTTCGATTTTTGCCGATGTTCAATGAACTGTGTAAGTCAAGTTGGTTAATTTTATTAAGTGTATTCTAACCTAACCACTCTGTAATTCGGCAAACTCAGTAATCCAGCACACTACAGGTCCCAATGATGCCGGATTTGTGATGGAGGACCTGTAATATTATCCCTCCACCTGACCGCTCCCAGACCTACATATTACGTCGTTTTATTTATTCTAGAGTATTTATTGTTTTAGGTTATTTATATTGTCTTGTGTCATATTAAATAAATTGTGATAGGTAAATAAGCCTTAGTTTTGATATTAGGGTAAATATGAAATATTTTAGTACGAATAGCGATTCCCGTGAGCGTCTTGCCAACTAAGCACATTTCTCAGATGGCCTTCTGATTGCTTCTCCAACTCCGTAATAGCTCCACCAACTTTGTAATGATGCCAAATCGTGAATTATTACATTAGAAAGAATAATAAAAGAAATAACTAAAAATAATTTGAAAAATTTCTGAAAATTCACTGTATGTGAGCACGTATGCTATGGGTGGCGGTATCACCATGAATGTTATAATGACTATAATTTGTTGGTATAAGCAATGAGACTTATACCAAAGTGTTGCCAGATTGTTAAGGTGTTTTTCTATAAGCTTAACTCATGTTCATATTTTTTTCAAATTTTTTTTCTTTACTCAGCACACCGTGCAGTCACCTCCCCCCCCCTCAAACATGTTGAGGATACTTGATAAAGTGTATGGTAGTTATTATTGAAAGAATTAAGAGTAAGACAGAGTAGGGTCACAGACGAACAAGGAGGCTTTTGGAAGGATAGGAAGGTTGTGCAGACAAGTGTTTACAGTGAAACATATGGGTGAGCAGTATTTAGATAAGGGTAAAGAGGTTTTCCCTGCATTTATGGATTGGGTAAAAGAGTATGATAGGGTAGATGGGGGGGGGATGCAATGTGGAAAATGTTGCAAATGTATGGAATAGGAGGTAGGTTACTGGAAGCAGTGAAGAGTTTTTACAAGGACAGTGAGGCTCAGGTTACAGTATGCAGAAGAGAGGGAGATTATTTCCCAGTAAAGGTAGGCTTTAGACAGGGATGTGTGATGTCACCATGATTCTTCAATATATTTATAGATGGGACTCTAGAAGAAGTGAATGCTCAGGTGTTGGCAAGAGGTGTGGGGTTAAAAGATGAAGAATCTAACACAAAGAGAGAGAGTTGTCAGTTTGCTTTTGCCTGATGACAATATGCTTTTGGGAAATTCTGAAGAGAAGCTGCAGAGGTTGGTGGACGAGTTTGGTATGGTATGTAAAAGAATTAAGTTAAAAATGAACATAGGAAAGAGTAAGGTGATGAGACAACAAAAAATTTAGGTAACGAAAGACTGGATATCAGATTGGAGGGAGGGAGTATGTAGGAAGCAAATGTATTTACATATCTGGAAGTAGACTTGTCAGCAGATGGGTCTATGAAAGACCAAGTGAATCAAAGAACTGATGAGGAGGAAAAGGTGGGTGGTGCAATGAAGAGTCTATGGAGACAAAGAATGTTATCCATAGAAGCAAAGAGGGGAACGTATGAGAGTATAGTTATACCAATACTTTTATACGAGTGTGAAGCATGGGTGGCGAATGTTGCAACACGGAGAAGGCTGGAGGCAGTGGAGATGTCATGTCTGAGGGCAATGTGTGGTATGAATATAATGCAGAGAATCTGTAGTTTAGCAATTAAGAGGAGGTGCAGGGTTACTAAAAGTATTATTCAGAGGGCTGAAGAGGGGCTGTTGAGGTGGGTCAGGTATTTAGAGGATGGAACAAAATAGGATGACTTGGAGGGTATATAAATCTGTAGTGGGAGAAAGGTGGGGTAGGAGTCACCCTAGGAAAAAATGGAGGAATGGGGTAAGGAGGTTTTGTGTGCAAGGGGCTTGGACATGCAGTAAGCATGTGTGAGTGTGTTAGAAGTGAATGGAGATGGATGGTTTTTGGGACTTGACAAGCTGTTGGAGTGTTAGCAGGGTAATATTTTTGTGAAGGGATTCAGTGAAACAGGTTAACCAGACTAGAGCCCTGATGGTGGGAAGCACAGTGCCTGTACTCTAAAGGAGGGAGTTGGGATATTTACTGTTTAGTGACATCCACACTGTTGTATCTGCACGCCCCTGGCAAGACAGTGATAGTGTGAATGACAATGAAAGTGTTTCTTTCTCGGGTCACCTGCCTCGGTAGAAGACAGCCAGCATGTTAAAAAAAAAATTATATACACTCCTCTTTCAGGTAATCCCTACTGACTTAATAAGCCCAGTGTAAGAAAACACTGCCATTAATAAAAGTATCAACCTCATTTTAGTGTCATTTGCTCCTGGAGGATATTTGGCAATATGCTGTGACTAAAAATGAGCTGCCACAATTATATTTATAGTATTTTCACCAAAAAAATATGGAGCATTCTATTTGCTGCAGTATATTTGAGAAGATGGCTACATCCCAAACATGTTTAGAGTAGATAAAGTTGGAAGCTGGAGTTTTAAATAAAAGTAAGGTGAACATCATGCTTATACCATCTGACTACCTATCACTAACCATAATTTCATTTCATTACCCCCACAAAACCATGACACCCAAAATGTTGATCTAGTTATAGCAAACAATACATCTATAGACAACTACCTAGTATTTAAAGAGCATCAAATGACCTTTATAAAATATTTATGAGAAAGTTTTTGACAGAATTTTTCTTCCAGGATCAATTTTATTTTCCTTGGCAAATCTAAATCTTTACTCAATATTGCCCCGGTAATAATCACCTTTCTTGTCACTGACCCTGAATGTTTAACACAGTTTGCTTGTACTGTGTATTCATAACTAACCTGGCTGGCCAAGTCCAAGTCCAACTATATGAAAAACTCCTCGTTTTCCAGTCGAGTTACAGTACTCGGTCTGGTATCCATTGTAGTAGGCTGCCAACTTGGTTAAGGCTTCCTCTTCCATTGGATGACACTCCCCACACACAATTAAAGAGTGGAGTGGCTCACCCATATCAGAATCTGCCAATTCTGTAACAGACAGACCTGTTAAAGAACAGTCCTAAAGCTGACATCTAGTTTAAATCTTTATCTGTTAAAACTGTCAATTTTTTAATTTGTATCACATCATTAATAAAAATTCTACACTAAGCAGTTTGAAATTATGTAAAGATAGGAAAGGGATATTTTTTATGGCAGTAAATGATATAATGATACAGTTGGATTACAATCTTTCTCTTAAGATAATTAAAGAATTTTTCTTTGAGACCTGGTTTATAAAACATGACATGAGAGGTGTGAAGAGTTAATAAATATTGTACAAGTAAATGAAGTAACAACAGACACAGCAAAATCTTGGAATTATGCTACAGCTCAAATACTTGCCTAACCTACTGGCATGACCCACTTCCACTAGTGAGCTCTAGCAAGCTGTGATGTCATCTTCATAATGCTGCACCTCATCAGTCAACAGTATAATTTATCTCCATCTCTGGACATCTTTAGATTCATCAAGGCCTTTAGATTCATCAAGATTCATCAAGGCCTGGTCACAGACCGGGCCGCAGGGGCAATGATCCCCGAAACCCTCTCCAGGTATCAAGGGCTAGGGAATGAGCACAACCTTCCTCCTCCACCAACAAACCAGCCTGTCTTTGTCTGGGTTAAAGGGCACATATTTTGAGCTTGGGACTATGTCTCCCTACTTCTCTTTCCTTTCTCCTTTCACCCATACTCCTGACAACATCGGAGCCATTTAACCCTTTCAGGGTTTCCGATGTACTGGTACGGCTTACGCACCAGGGTTATTGACGTACTAGTACGCCTAAATTCTAGCGCCTTCAAATCTAGCAAGAGAAAGCTGGTAGGCCTACATATGAAAGAATGGGTCTATGTGGTCAGTGTGCACAGTATAAAAAAAATCCTGCACCACACAGTGCGTAATGAGAAAAAAAAAAATTTGACCATGTTTTTGGTTTAAAACAGCGACTTTGCACTGTATTTTCGTATAATATTTATGGTTGTATTCTAGTTTACCTGGTCTCATTTTATAGAATGGAAGACATATTACAGAAATTGAGGTGATTTTGATTGGTTTCACAATGAAAAGTACCTTGAAATTGAGCTGAAAGTAGCAGAACTGTTCGATTATTGCCAAAGTTCAAAAGTAAACAAATCATGTCATGCGTCCAATACACGTCAACTGGTGAGTCTAATATTCTTTCACAAGTGTGCTGATATTATTTATACCATTTCTACACTAATGCAGTAGTCTGCATAACAGTGAATCTTCTATTTTCTGTGAGAATAAAAATTCAAAGTGTAAAGCAAAAGAAATGTAAGAGGGACCTGGGGATGTGACTAATGAACAGAGAAAATGTTATTTTTGTGCCAGGAATGTCTGTCTTGTTTATTCTGGACCCTATTTGGAAATTGGCATCTTTTGAAATTTGTGTGAAATTGGCAAAATTGCTAATTTCTGACCACTTTATTGGATAGTTGAAATCGGTAAATGGGTGGTTTCTTGTACTCATTCGAAAAAAAAAATGGAGTTCTAGCGAAACAGTTATGATTTTTGTCGACCAGTACACTGGAACTGGCCAAAAATAGGGCTGAAAGTGGGCGAAAACATCGTTGAGACCGCTAACTTCACGAGAGCATAATTCCCTAAGTTTTCCATCAAATTTCATACTTTTGGTGTCATTATGACTGGGAAAAGATTCTCCATCTTTTCATGAGAATTTTTTTTTTTTTTTCCGAAAATTTTTCGACCCTGAGAACAAGTTTAGGAGAGGGCCTCTCAATCTTGAAAGGGTTCAGGTGAGTGCCGATCTTTTCTCTTGATGCAAGTCTCAGACTGAAAACCAGCCATAAGAATTCTTTCAAAATGTACTTATTAAATTTCTTATGCCTACATTAAATTTCTCATGCCTATATTTTCTTTCTCTTCTTTCTTATGTCAGTATACAGTAAACCATTACACTACATGGTAGTGTAGATAAACTGAAGAACTTGTTAGAAAAATAGGGTCAAGTTCCTGGGAGCCCCAAAAAAGCCAAACAACTTTTTTTTAGACCTCCAGATCTTACAAAAATAAAAGTGAAAACGTAATTGTAGTTCAATGTCGTGATGTATTATGTTGTTTTTACTGCTTAAGGCTACAAATGCAACAGAAATAATAGTATTTCTTACCTTAAATTGTGGGTGCTGGTGTTTGTGGATGATTGTGAAGAGAGTGGAGAGTTACGTTGTGGCCCTACTGGTCTGAGGTGGATGGTAGAGGTTCTGGTACTGAAGTTGATGGTTGCACTGGTGTGCGCATAAATTCTGTAATGGATTTCTGTTCTATTTTACCCTGCAGTACATTATACAGCTGACAGTAAGGCATCAGCTGCTCTAGACACCGTTTCAGAGCACTGCTTCTAGATTTGTCAGGGTCCTCTTCAGTGAAAAAGTAACTAAGTCAGTCAGTAAATCAGTCAAGTCAATCAGTCAAGTCAGTCAGTAAAGTCAGTCAGTAAGTCAGTCAAGTCAGTCAGTCAGTCAGTAAAGTAATAATATGATAATATCTTTATTTCTACAAGCACATGTACAAGGTATACAGTCCTAGCTGACATCAATGACATACTACTATATAGAAAGCCAATTGTTATGCTGAGCAATTCAGGGAAATTAGGTCAGTTTTGTCCCAGGATGCAACCCACACCAGTCGACTAACACCCAGGTACCTATTTTATACTGATGGGTCAACAGGGACAGTAGATGTCTTATGGAAACAGTTTCATCTCACTCACACATAATCACTGTTTTTGCAGAGGTGCTCAGAATACAACGTATAAAGATACATAACATATCCCTACAAACCGCCAATATCCCAAACTCCTCCTTTAAAGTGTAGGCATTGTACTTCCCATTTCCAGGGCTCAAGTCCGGCTATATAAAAATAACCGGTTTCCCTGAATCCCTTCACTAAATATTACCCTGCTCACACTCCAACAGCTCGTCAGGTCCCAAATACCATTCATCTCCATTCACTCCTATCTAACACACTCACGCACCCCTACCCCGCCTTCCTTCCCCTACAGATTTATACGCTCTCCATGTCATTCTACTTTGATCCATTCTTTGATCCCTCCTCTCCTAATTTCCACACTCCGAATTTTCTGCATAATATTTACACCACACATTGCCCTCAGACAGGACATCTCCAATGCCTCCAACCACCTCCTTGCTGCAGCATTTACAACCCAAGCTTCACACCCATATAAAAGTGTTGACACTACTATACTTTCATACATTACCTTCTTTGCCTCCATAGAAAACGTTTTTTGTCTTCACATATACCTCAACGCACCACTCACCTTTTTTCCTTCATCAATTCTATGATTAGCCTCATCCTTCATAAATCTATCCGCTGACACATCAACTCCCAAATACGTGTCTGAAAACATTCACTTCTTCCATACTCCTCCTCCTCAATTTGATATCCAATTTTTCTTTATCTAAATCATTTGATACCATAATCACCTCACTCTTTTCTATGTTCACTTTCAACTTTCTACCTTTACACACACTCCCAAACTCATCCACTAACCTTTGCAATTTTTCTTTAAAATCTCCCATAAGCACAGTATCATCAGCAAAAAGTATCAATTACCATTTTGTATTGATTCCCCATAATTTGCTATAAATATATTAACCCTTTGACTGTTTTGGTCGTATATATACATCTCACGAGCCAGTATTTCAGGCGTATTAATACGCATAAATTCTAGCGGCTTCAAATCAAGCAGGAGAAATCTGGTAGGCCCACATTTGAGATAGAGTCTGTTTGGTCAGTGTGCACCACATAAAAAAATCCTGCAGCACACAGTGCATAATGAGAAAAAAAAAAAAAAGAGCGTTTTTTTAGATTAAAACGCCAACTTTGAGGTGTATTTTCATATAGTATTTATTGATATCTTCTCGTTTTCATGGTCTCACGTGATAAAATGGAAAACATATTACAGAAGTAGAGATGATTTTGATTAGTTTCACGATGAAAACGACCTTGAAATTGAGCTCAAAGTAGCGGAAATGTTTGTTTTTTACCTATGTTCAGGAGTAAGGAAATCACACCACACGTCCAATACACGTCAACTGGGGAGTCTAATATTCTTTCACTAGTGCACTGATATTATTTATACCATTTTTACAATAATGCAGTATTCTGCATAACAGTAAATTTTGTATTTTTTGTATGAATAAAAAATCTAAATATAAAGCAATAGTAATATAAGGGCGCCTAGAACATTATTAATGAACAGAGGGTTATCTTATGCGACAAATGTTACATGTATTATTTTCCCATTATGAAATTGGCAAATTAAAATTTGCATGAAATTGGCCAAAATTGAAAAATTTTCTGACCACATTTACTGTTAATGTTCCAAATCGAAAAAGGCGCGAATTTTCATGTACACTACTTTTATTAGAAGATAATGGGAGTTGTTGGAGGAAATAGCTTATCTTCTTAGTTCAAAGGGAACAATGGACTTGGGTCCAATACTTCTGGTTTTTTTCAAATTAGGCCCAAATCAGAGCCGATATGTCGCACAACCAAATCTTCAAGGAGCTAACTTCTGTTTTTCAAGACCAAAATTCTAACTTTTTGGTGTCCAACCACGGGAACAGATTCTCTATCATTTTTATAAAAAATAGTTTTTCAAAAAACATTTCCTAACTTGAATAGACAGATTCAAAATGGCATAGGCAGTCACAGGGTTAAACAACCAAACTTCAAAATCATTCTTAAAGTTTCATACTAATTCTCACCCTTTTACCAAAGGGTTGGCACTAGAAGCTTTCTAGGGCCCATATCTCACTTAAATTTTCCAGATAACACCACGAAAACACTGTCTAATAATCGAAACATTCCGAGTGTATGCTTGGATGTTACCGCGGAGGCTGGCTGGTAAACAATGGGACGGCCGGCACATGTGAGGGCACATTGGACGCGTCTCGGACGAAAATCGGTATGCGGGTTTTTAATC